GGCAGCCCAGGTTCGAGACCTGTGCACCGCACACTGGGGTGAGCTCCCGTTGCCTGCCTCAGCTCCTGCCCACCTAGCAGTTCGAAAGCATGCAAATGCGAGTAGATCAAAAGGTACTCCTTTGGTGGGAAGGTAACAACATGTAGTGATGTTGGCCACGTGATCACAGAAAATGTCTTCAGACTGCTAGCTCCCTCGGCCAAGAAATGGAGATGAGCACCTCTCCCTAGAAGCAGACATGAAAAATCTAACTTTTTATATAATTTAGTTTAAATTGAATTAAATAAGTTGTTATGGCTGATCCCAAGGCACCTATGAGTTCTCTCAGTTCTGTCAAGTAATGCTTAAAGGGGCTTTGTTATTTCACCCAAAATTGGGGGGGGGGGCTTAGGTTGTGTTCCTTTATCCTTACCTGAGTTATCATCAAGTATTTTCTGGTTTACCGCACTTTAACCCAACTTTGCAGGGAAGGATGTGAACAGGAAAGTAAAAGACTAATTGAATTATTCAGCCCAAGCAGAAGGCATGGCATTTGTCTTACAAAATGGATTGTTGTAAGAGTAGTTACTCATCATTGGTCCAAGCGGTTGATTCATTGCTGACTAATATTTTGGATATGAAGTCAGTATCCAAGAGTAAAAAAGTAAATTACTTCATAGGGCAGCAAAGAGCAAGTGGATTGAAACTTACATCTTAAGTAAGTCTTTTTTTTCTCTTAGTTTGATAGATGGAACCTAAAAATTCAATTTCCATTCAAAATCTACATTCCAGTGTTGGAGTTTGTTAATCAAGCTATAATTCAGTGTTTGCTTATCAAACTATAATTCAGATTTTCTTTATCAAGATGTAATTTGGAGTTTATCAAGCTATAATTCAGAGTTTGTCAAGCTATAATTCAGAGTTTGTCAAGCTATAATTCAGAGTTTGTTTTTTTGTTGGATCTTCACGCCTGCCTCATTTACTACTGTGGGAAACTGGGAGGGGGGATTGTATGGAGCATGGGTGATATGTAGTCATAATAACATTCCTTTCTCAGAGAGTCAAGGACATCTTGACCTGCACCTGGAACTGGGAGGCATCTCCAGTTGGGACGGTGTTTTGATTGGACCATGTGATGGACTTGTGGGTGTTGGGCAGGGACTTGGACTTTTCTTTGGGGAGTGGGGGAAACCTGGAAGCTTTCAGATTCGGGGTTTCCCAGATGCGCCAATAGGACATCTCTAATAAAATGGAACTTTGAGGAACTTCAAGCCTCGGAGTCTTCTTTCGTTGGGAGTGTTACTTGGAACCCCGACAGGGACTTTCAACTATTTATTCTGTTATTGGCTCATTCATTTTCCTTTTATTACTGAGACGGAAAAGCAAAAAGGTGAAAGCTTTTTAACAAGAAATATTAAAATTAAAATATGCCTTGCTCTGCCTTCTGGAATTTTAGCGGTTTATGAACTGCTACATCACATCTTTAATGCTGTGTGAATCCTACTTCAGTGAATTGGGGAAAACAGCATCCTGCTCATTTTTTTTCTTAAAGCTTGGAATGACCCTAGTTTTAGACAGTGGTGGGATTCAAGTAATTTAACAACCGGTTCTCTGCCCTAATGATTTCTTCCAATAACCAGTTTGCCAAACTGCACAGAAAGTTAACAACCGGTTCTCCCGAATTGGTGCGAACTGGCTGAATCCCACCACTGGTTTTAGACCAGTGGTTCCCAACCCTTTTTTGGCCATGCCCCACCTAAGCATCTCTAAAATCCTGATGCCCTCCCCCCGTGACGTATAATTCTTACTATTCAAAAAGTGAACTAATTTATGAATAATAAGATTGTCATGAATGAAAGGGGGGTTGTAACCTATGACACCCCCCCCACTCACCCACTCAGTTTGAAACTGCAGTTTAGTGCTTTGGTAGTTCAGTAGGTGGAGGTGAATCACATAGGCCTGGCAAGGCCTACTCATGCGTGGCCCAGCCCCAGATTTCTCTGAGAGGAAAAGTCTTGTAAAACACAGCCTGGGAAAACACAGACTAAAAATAACTGTAAATCTAACTCAAGGTAATCAAGGTTTTGGTTACCACCTTTAGAGCGCTCCATGGCATCGGACCGGGGTATTTACGAGACCGCCTTCTGCCACCAGTAGCCTCTCACCAACCAGTACGCTCCCATAGAGAGGGGCTTCTCAGGGTGCCGTCGGCCAAACAGTGTCGACTGGCAGCCCCCAGGGGGAGAGCCTTCTCTGTGGGGGCACCTACCATCTGGAACGAGCTCCCCCCAGAGATACGGAGGATCCCGGATCTGCGCACATTTCGTTGTGCTCTCAAAACATTTTTATTTCAGCAGGCTGGCCTGGCCTAACTCTCCCTTTTAAATTTTTAAATAGTTTAATTTGTTTTATAAATTGGGTGTTTTAAATTTGTTTTTCGGCCAAAATATTTAATAATTTTAATGGACTTTTAATGTTTGTATTATCTGTATTTTATCTTGGCTGTTCACCACCCTGAGTCCTCCGGGAGTAAGGCGGTATAGAAATTTGATAAATAAATAAATAAATAAATAAATAAATAAATAAATGAATGAATGAATGAATGAATGAATGAATGAATGAATGAATGAATGACAATTTCTTACTTAAACTTGGGTCCTGGTTCTGTATCCTCACTGCTGGGCTTCCTCTAGCAGCCACCCACTCTGTCCCATCCCCATCCCCATCTCCCCCCTCACCCCCCGAGCAACTGTCCCTACAACCACCCAGCAGGAAAGCCCACAGGAAAGAGCGAGAGAAACTCAGCCAGTCCCTTGATCCTTAGTGGGAACACATCTGATTGACTGGCAGTTGCTCCCCCTTTCCCCAGCTGGGATATCTTTTTCAGACAAGGCCCTAGAAAAAGCATTTTAACAAAGACAACAATAGGTAAATGAAACACAGCTGTTTCATCAGAAATATATAAGAACGATTAGCAGGCTTTCAAAAATTCAGATAATAGCTCATTTTCGAATTGCCCCCATTAAAAATCAAATTGGGCCCCACGTTGGGAACCACTGTTTCAGACCAAGTGGTTCTCTTTTTTTTTCTTCTTTGAGCCATCCAATGCCTTAAAGAAATTTCTAACTTAAAAGTTTGCATCTTTCGTTTCAAGCATTATTAGATCACAAACCAATAGGTTCAGCGATCCCCAGCAGGGGATCACCAGGAACTCCTGTGAAGACACTGAAGAAGGCAAATGCCTAGCCTAGAGAAGCAAAAACCTGAAATAAAATATTGTAGCACTTGAGATTCTTAAAAGTTCACCACAAAGAGGGGGGGTGGGGAATGATGCTTGTTCTTTGTCATCCCCAAGAACAGGATAGATAGAGAATAATGATCTCAAGATATAGGATAGATTCCTATATTGGAACAAAAGCTATAGGACAGATGAATAGTTCTTGACTTATGACCACAACTCGGCCCAAAATTTCTGTTGCTAAGCAAAACAGTGATTAAGTGCAGGAGAACCGGCAAATACCACCTCTGGGTGGCCCCAGTAGTGGGGTGGGAATGGAGATTTTGCAGTATCCTTCCTCTGGAGTGGGGTGGGAATGGAGATTTTGCAGTATCCTTCCCCTGCCACATCCACCACACCAAGTCAAGTCACACCCATCAAGCCACATCCACAAAACCGGTAGTAAAAAATTTGCATTTCACCACTGAGCAAGTATATGGTTCATTTGACTTTCCCTTACTAGCTATGGGGAGCCAGCCACTGTAATTTGCAAACCATGTTTTCACAGGTTAATATGTTGTGCAATGCAGTGGTTTACTTTAGTCCAAACCATAGTTAAGCACACTATATACACTGGTGTCATGTGTGAACCTGGTCTAAATCTCAGAGCACTACAAGCGAATGTGAATTGAGCGATTCTCTGCTTAGGGCTGCATTCTCAGACTTCATTCTCAAAATTGAATCTTGGCAAGGCGGCAAGCAGCCTCTGCTGGCATAATAATAAAGTACAAGGGAAAAGTCCCCGAATATGCAAAGCAGAAAAAGGAAAGACTGAGCTGTCTGGCATGTTTACCCCGCGTGATTTGTCAATTTCTGGAACTGACAATCCTCCTCTAAGCCTGTTTATTAAGGCGTTGTTCTCTCTCCACGGCGCTGAGGGTGTCACCTATATTTATCAAACGTCGTTTCTTCCCAGCGTTGGTTTCTCCATCGAACCCCCCCCTCCCCGGCTGGGATGGGAACGGGGTCGGCTTGGATGGCTCTGGGGGGCTCAATCGGGCCAGACGGTCGGGGACTCCAAGCCTACCTTTCGTTTAAAAAAGGGGAGTGGGAGCGCCTCCCGCAAAGCCTGAGTGGCGTAGGAGGCTAATGCCTCCTACTAAGGCAGCATTTAACATCCAGCTGCCTGCAATTACTGCGAGTTCAATTCTCACCAGGCTCAAGGTTGACTCAGCCTTCCATCCTTTCTAAGGTGGGTAAAATGAGGACCCGGTTTGTGGGGGCAATAAGCCGACTTTGTATAAAATATACAAAAGTATGAAGGCTATTGCTTAACGCATTGTAAGCCGCCCTGAGTCTCCGGAGAAGGGCGGCATATAAAAATAAATAAAAATAATTTAAATTTTTTTTTTTAAAAAAAAAGCCAGGCTTGGTAAACAACGTGCCCTACCAGCTGGCTTCAAACAAGCCGACTTTGAAGGGGGGAAGGGGGAGATTCCCACCTACCCACCCACCCATCCCTTCCCCTGAAAGAAAGTTGCCTGCGATCGTGTTTGGGAAGGGCGCTGGCGCTTTTGAACCCCAGGACGGGCGAAGGGCTGCCGGCCGGGACGCGTGGGGAGAGGTTACCCTCACCCCACCCCACCCCACGCCTGCGCCCCTCTCCGCCTGGGCGCAGGGCGGCGTGGAAGCCCTGTCCGGCAGCCCCACCTCAAACTGTGTGACGCGGGGTTGCCATGGGCACTCTTTTACGCTACAAGGGCTGAGCCGCGGGGAGGCGGGCGAGCGGGCGAGCCAGCGGGAGGGTCGGGGCGCATTTCAGCACCACCGTGGAGGAGGACAGCAGCCTCAGCGCCGCCGCCACTCCGCGCTTCTCTTCCCCCTCCCTCCCTTCCCGATCCCGGCTGTCGGGTCTCCCTTCCTGGCCCCCATTTCCCCCTCGTCTCTTGGGGGGGGGGACTGGCGGGTCCTGGGGTACCTTGCGATCGTTGCTCTCCCCACGGCGTCCTTACCAGCTCGGGGCTGAGCCGTCCATTTCTGGGAGGAAACGGAGGGAAGAGAAGGGCAGTGAGGGGCGCGTCTCCCCACCCCCTCGCCGGCAGGCTTGGGGGACGCCAGCGGGGAGAGGGGGGACCTTAAGCTGACGCTTCTACGAGGCCGTCCCGGTGAGTACTTTGCTCTTCGGGAAGAGGAGCAGGCGGGAAAGACAGGGGACCTTGGAGTGAGAGAACATCCCCAGCATTTCGTAGCATCGATTTTTTGTTTTTTGCTATGACAATTCCTGCTCTTGTTGTTATTATTATTGCGATCTACGTGGTTGGTAGAGAAGACGACATTCAAAACTCTTGAGTAAGGGGTCCTTGTATTGGGAAAGCATTCTGGAGACCAGGGAGATTGACCACGATGAAGTTCAACATAGTGGTCCGAAGCTTCACGATCAAATATAAGGACCCATCGCATGAAACTCAAGAGTTTTGAGTCTAGTCTTCTCCAGATCTTGGCCAAGAAGGTTTCTCTCCCTTAGGTCCCAGCTAAAACTTCAAGACCCCTTTCTATAGCCAACTTTATTGGTTGAGAAGTATTTGGTTTTCTTTCTACACCCGCCCCCCCCCCAATTGGCCTTCAGACTTTGAACCCGAGGTCAGCAAATTGTTAGGTTGAACAGCCTAATTTGAAATCCATGCAAGACGTTGTTGGAAATTCTCTTGATCCGGAGGGAACAATGCAACTAGAGTGTGATGGAGCTCAGGAACATTTCCTGGTATGGTTTCCATCCGTGGATATTGTTACTATTATTTCTGGACCTCCCCAGAGCCTTGCCTTCAATATTTATCCATAGATATCCAATATCCATGAAAGCACTGGAAGCTTTCAAGAAGAGACTGGACAGCCATCTGTCAGAAATGATGTAGGATCTCTTGCTTGGGTGGAAGGTTGGACTAGATGACCTACAAGGTCCCTTCCAACTCTGTTAATCTGAATCTGAATTTGGCAGAAAAATGCAATATACTACTAGCAGGAAAGGCCTGCCTTGCTAAACTCTGAATGTTGTAATCTGACAAAGTCTCTAGATCAGTGTTTCTCAATCTTGGTAGCTTGAAGATGGGTGGACTTCAACACCCAGAATCCCCCAGCGAGCAGCGCTGGCTGGGGGATTCTGGGAGTTGAAGTCCACCCATCTTCAAGCTACCAAGGTTGAGAAACACTGATCTAGAGACTTCTAGTTTTCTAGAGATTCACTAAAATGAGTGAGATTGGGGAAGGGGAAGAACAGAAGCTAAAACCAAAGCATGTTGTTATACTAAATGGAGGTTGGGGGTTGGAACTTTTACACCACCAAATAGAAATATTTTAGATTTATGTCTTCCATTTCTGTGACTTTCTTATATGTGCTACAGGTTCATTATAATACCCATACATGATGAGGAAAATCACCCTGATAAGAATTTCCATTCAGATAGAACAATATGTGTCTATTGTTGTTCCTGTTATTGCTTTGCTTTAGGTCAAGCAAGCTGTCCCGATTATAAAAGTCATTAAATGGTGGCATTTTAGATGATTGTTATTTTTTAAAATAAAAACCTCTTTAACTGCTAGAGAAAACCTGAGTTATAAGTACACAAAGCCAGTTAATAAATACACAAAGCCGGTTGCAACCTACAGAAAACCTGAGTTTTCTGTAGGTTGCAATGGGCTTTGTTTACTTATTGCTCTAAGAATGTATTTATCTCTTAGTATCCTAACCATTGGTTATACTGATGGATATTAGTGGGAGCTGAATTCCATGGAACTCACAAACTGGGGAAAGACATGAGAGGATCTAACCAGTGTCTGTGGCCTTGTGTAGGTGTTGTAGGCTTTGTGCTCCTGTTTGTAGGGTATCCGGACAACTATTTTCTATTAAGAATCCTGCCTTTATGAATTCCTTGAAGTTAGACTCTGTATGAGAACTGCAACTTGGTTGGAGGCAATAGCAATTTTTCTGTTTACAAGTTTTAATCTCTGAATATATAATCCCTTACTTGTAGAACGTCAGTCGTTAAAAGTAGATACAAATATACTCTTTACTGCTCTATAATCGATAGAGCACTCAAAGTCCTCAGCTGTCTTTCCTTTAAAAGCCATTTGGGGGCTCAACGAAGCAACGCAGCTCTCTGAATTTCCAGGATTCTATCGGAACTTGTTGAGTTTTTCTTATTTTATTATTGTGAACCTTGTTGGATTCCTTCAGTGTCATCCGTGGATTAACGAGTGTCTCAGTTTTTTTAAAAAATCATAAAACCATGTGAGGCATAGGGTGTGTGTATGCCATCCGCTCTGATTTGTTTCAGCCTGGTCCGACAGGAAAAATCCCCACGTTTGATGAGAAGATCACTTCTTCAGAGGCCCCAAAGACTGAATGTAGTATTTGTGTCCTGTTAGTAAAATTCATTTACTTTCCTCTTAATGGAGAACAAAACCTGGGCTAGACAAGTTTCTACCAATCCCCAAAACCCCTCGAGGGTCCAGACCATTTTCAGTCACATTCCCAATATTTGACTATTATGGGATGCTGTCAATAAATGGTGTGCTTTCTTTCTTCTCTAGGATCATGCATATATGATCCACAGCTCATTTTTCCCCCCAGAGGCGAGTGTCTGCCCACGTGAGAGGGGAAGAGCAGTGAGGGAGAGAACTCCTGTGATTTCATTCAGCTAACCCCCCTCGTGTCTGGTGGAGAGGCTCACATTGAGAAGTTCTACTCCACAAGACAGGGATGCGGTGGCTCAGTGGCTAAGACACTGAGCTTGTTGATCGAAAGGTCGGCAGCTCAGCGGTTCGAATCCCTAGTGCCATGTAATGGGGTGAGCTCCTGTTACTTGTTCCAGCTTCTGCCAACTTAGCAGTTCGAAAGCATGTAAAAAATGCAAGTAGAAAAATAGGGACCATCTTTGGTGGGAAGGTAACAGCGTTCCGTGCACCTTTGGCATTGAGTCATGCCGGCCACATGACCACGGAGATGTCTTTGGACAGCACTGGCTCTTCGGCTTTGAAATGGAGATGAGCACCGCCCCCTAGAGTCAGGAACGAGTAGCACATATGTGCAAGGGGAACCTTTACCTTTTACCATACTCCACAAGAGGAATTGGTTGGGCTGGGAGAGGCAACAAAGCAATGGGAAAGTATGACTGGGAACCACTGAATATCCAGTTATGGATCTGTCCTCCTCCTCTTCTTATCCCCTTTCCTCGCCCCCTTTTTTTTTTAACTTGGATGATTAACTTTGCTGTCACCGCGAGATGATTTTCCTTTCAAATTTCACCTCCTAATGATCCCAGCCAACTGTCTCAATGACACTCTGGTGACAGGAGAATTTCCTGAATGAATCATTGGTCTGAGGGATTTGCTCTCCGCCCACCCACCCACCCACCCACCCCCTTCAAGCAATCAGAAGCAGTTTGAGCTGGATCAGATGTATTATTCATTCCACCTGGCCGGTCACTGATTGATTGTAGTTGTCTAACCATTTGCAGTCCGGAGCTTAGAACTTCAGGAGGTCAAAAGCAGGGGTAACTATTACAGCCTGTCTCTCTAACACAATCCTTTTCCATTTATTCCCTGGGTTTGTTCTTTGTACCTTTGTACATGTACATTTTTTTCCCCCAAGGAGTCGGTAGCCCAAAGCTGCAATGAATCAGCATGAGAGCTTTCCTTTGGAAGAAGCCATCGGATTCTCTTAAGCTCCCGTATTTTCCATCACAGCTGGAGTTGGGCAACAGCACGCTGGAGCAGTAGTAGAACACAAAGTTGGGATGCAACCCAGCATCCTTTGTTTTATCTCTGTGTACCAAGTTGGCTTGAAAACAAACCTCAAACACCAATCTAGGGTTTGTTTTTACAAACAAACTCAGTTTTAGATCTTGGGCAATAACGCAAATGTAGGAGAACAGGTGTATTCTGGGAGGCGAGGGGGCTGCATAAAAACTGCTTTTCTACATGAATCAAGAACTACCCAAATGAAATTCGTTTCAATTTGGGGTCTCGTGTGTGTTTGTGTGTGTCTGTGTGTCTGGGTATGTTTGTGTTGTGTTGTGTTGAAAAGTTATACTGCAAAAACCAATAGCTTTGTTTCCAGTTTTGACTGGAGCTGGTAAATCATTTGGATGCCGCCTTGCACTTTTTAAAGGAAATCCAAGGAAAATAATAATGGTAACAGATAGTCGTGACTAACTCAAATGTCACTACTATTGAGGAGTCGACTTACTCCAGAGTAAGGCTGGCTTCAATATTATCGTGTGTGCCTTTAAGTCAGTGTTGTTGATGACTGCCAGGACAAGTTCCTGCAGTTCTCTTGGCAAGATTTCAGAAGTGTTTTGCCCTTGCCTTCTTCTTAAATACCTTTATGGTAAATAAATATCTTGATTGACCACATCTACATAGTTTTAGAAAGCAGGTTATGAAACCTTTTTGTTCTGGTGGATGTTTGTTTAATCACTTTCATTTAAGCCACTGAGGTTTAATCTATTCTGTGAATCAGACCTGTGGATTGGTTGTTTTTTTTCCCCCTTTCCCCCCATTTCTTTTCACAATGCAAGAGCTCGTTTTGCAGAAAGAAGGAAATTAGACAGTGCATCGTTACAAAACATATCATTGGTCTATTGTTAGGAACATAAGAAAAGCTTGCAGATGTCATCCTGAACCTTCTTAATTCAATTTTAAGGACTTGTCCAGTTCTTTCAAACTCAACTATTACATGTAATGAATGACTGCAGTTTTATGAATGGCCTCAGACCAAGGCTTTCTGTCAAGAAAGCCTCCTTCCTTTCATATTTTTCTGGATGTAATTGAAGCAAACTTCCTTCCCCATATCCTTTCCTCTCATTAACTTAGAAAAATTGGATGCTTTGTTCCTTCCTGGCCACCCGCCTCAGCCCTGATAGCTTCATTTATGAACATCTTGTCATTTTGCTTTTTATTTGTTCGGCTCCCAGCACTTTCTAGAGTTGTTAAACTCTATTAAATGAAGAGGTTTTTGTCAAGAAAGATTTTCCTAAACTGGCCAATTGGTTGGGATGGGGTCATTCATGTCTCTACTGGCAAGGGTGCACATTGGCATCCTTGCAACATCGAAACATTAGTCTAAACAATCCAAAACGTTGGGTTTTGACCAATAATATTGAAGCCAGCCTTAGTCTGGAATAAGTAGATTCGTCAAAAGTTATGAAATTTGAGTTAGTCATGACTATCTGTCAGGGATTGTGGTGGCTCAATGGCTAAGATGCTGAGCTTGTTGATCAGAAAGGTTGGCAGTTCAGCGGTTCGAATCCCTAGTGCTGCGTAACAGGGTGAGCTCCCGTTACTTGTCCCAGCTTCTGCCAACCTAGCAGTTCCAAAGCACGTCAAAAATGCAAGTAGAAAAAATAGGGACCACTTTGGTGGGAAGGTAACAGCGTTCCATGTGCCTTTGGCGTTGAATCATGCCGGCCACATGACCACGGAGATGTCGGACAGCGCTGGCTCTTCGGCTTTGAAACGGAGATGAGCATTGCCCCCTAGAATCAGGAACGACTAGCACATATGTGCGAGGGGAACCTTTACCTTTACCTTTTATCTGTTATCCTTATTGTTTTCCTTGGATTTCCTTTAAGAAGTGCAGCATCCAAATGACTTACCAGCTCCAGTCAAAACTGGAAACAAAGTTACTGGGTTTTCTTCATATAACTTTTCAAGCAAAGGTAGAGAACATTTTTTTTGATAGGATGGTATGCCAATGGTCCAACTGGGTATATGAGCTCTGTCTACTGCAGATATAGTAGCCCAGCTCATGGGTTAATATTGCCCACCAGTCTTCCCCACCCAGTCTGTAAAGCTCTTGAATATGATTGTTCTGGTCTTCCATCTTAAGCTTTAATTATACCTGTTTCTGTTTTGGGATTGACAACATATTTGGTTTCAGCAATTCTGATTTTTGATCCTTAAACACTTTGGACCGATCACACTCTCTCTCAGCCCAACTTGGCTCATGGGCTGTTGTGGGGAAAATGTGGAACAGGGAATGTAATTTTCATTACCCTGAGCTGCTGAAGGAAATGGATATAAGCAGGGGTGGGCTGCTGGGGGCTCGCAGGGATTCAGGAGAACCTCTAGCTAAGATTCTTTGCAGTTCGGAGAATCCCCAAATACCACTCCTGGTTAGCCCCGCCCACCACACCCCTCCCAGGAGTCACCACGCAGCCTGTTTTGGATACATAAGTGCAGGGTGCGCACAGAGACTCAGGGAGGGTGAAAAATGGGCCTACCGGAAGTTTGGGAAGGCTGGAAACAGGCCCGTTTCTGATCTCCAGATGGCCTCCGGTGCCTGGGGAGGCCATTTTTGCCCTCCCGGAGGCTCAAAGAAAGCTCAAAGAAAGGAGGCTCAAAGAAAGCCTCCGGAGCCCGGGGAGTCAGGAGGCTGACTAGGCCACTCCCACCATGGCCACGCCCACCCAGCAACCAGGCAGAGAACCCCTTGCTAACATTTTTGAAGCCCACCCCTGGATATAAGTTTAACGAATCATGACTGTCCTAAGTTCTTGTCTCTTAAGAAGATGTTGTGAATACAGGATTTAATAATTCTAACATTGGATTTATTCTGTGACCGGGCTGACATTATATAACAAAGTTCTCTATTATTTGTCTGTTTTTATTCCACAGCATTTCCTTGGGAGGTTCATGATTTTATCTGTGGCAAGATGACCATTTGTATTTTTGCCAACAAATCCAGTGAATCATCACATTAATTCTGCAGAAGTGCATACTTGGCAAGAATCCAACCTTCGTAAGTTTTTTCAAATGCTCTCTTCTTCCTAGAAATTATATATTGACAGAGTGGATCACCTGTAGTAGTAATAGTAATGGGTGATATTATCTTGCAACAAGTGAGAGGGTGCAAACGTTCAAGGGACATGAGATTTTTTTTTATCTAGGGGAAAAAATTACAAGTGTATTCCACAGCAACCTATCTATCAGGTCCAATAAAGAACATCGTTCCTTGTAGATTCCTGACCTATGAGACAAAGCTGAACAATCAAACACAGTCCATCCCCTTCTCGTGGTGTCTCATAAACCAGATTTTCTACTGAACTAATCTTATTAAAAGTGGGAAAGAGTCATTTCACTTGGGTAAAAGCAAATAGACTCTTTGACTGCCTTCCATTGAGGACCTGTACACTGCACAAGTCAGAAAGAAGACTAAGAAAATATCTACAGAACCAGTGGTGAAATGTAAATTTTGTTACTACCGGTTCTGTGGGCGTGGCTTGGTGGTGGTGGGGTGGTGGTGTAATATGACTGAATTAGCGTGGCCAACTTTTTTTTTTTTTTACTTTTAAAACCATTTTTCTACAACCTCTTCGGCTGAAGAGGTTGTTTAAAAAATGCTTTTAAAGCCTCTGACGATCCCAGCTGACTTGCCTGATTGGCAGAGGCTTTGTTTTTACTTTTAAAAGCATTTTTCCTATAACCTCTTCGGCTGAAGAGGTTGTAGAAAAAATGCTTTTAAAAATAATTTAAAAAAAGCCTCTGATGATTGAGTGGCTCAGCTGGGCAATGGGAGAGGGGCAGTGATTTTTGCTACCGGTTCTCCGAACCACCCGCCTCCATTGCTAACAGATCGGGCAATCCGGTCCAAACGGGAGCATTTCACCCCTGTACAGAACCCTCTCACATCCTGAACATAAACTATTTCAACTCCTCCCCTCGGGATGGCGCTATAGGGCATTGCATGCCAAAACAAACTATATACAGAGACAATTTTCCCCCCATACCATCATTCTGCTGAATACCTAATTGCCACAGTACTGTCTTATGCCTAAGGATATTTACCCATGTAGTAGGGCTGTATTACTATTATCCTTCTCATCTTTTCTATTACCTTCTCCGATATGATTATATCACTTTGTTGTTTGTATCTACTCTGAGAGTTTATGCACCAGAGACAAATTTCTTGTGTGTCCAATCATACTTGGCCAATAAAGAATTCTATCCTATCTATCCTATCCTATCCTATTCTTATTATTATTTCTATTCTATTCTATTCTTATTCCTGTTCTATTCTGTTCTGTTCTGTTCTGTTCTGTTCTGTTCTGTTCTGTTCTGTTCTACTCTACTCTACTCTACTCTACTCTACTCTACTCTACTCTACTCTACTCTACTCTACTCTACTCTACTCTAAAGATGAATTAAACTATCACAACTAGGTATGCCTTTTTCTATACCAATATGCCTTGGCCATCAGCCCAGAATCATACCAAATAATTGAGAAAAATATAAGTACTGTATTTGCATTTCATAAAATCATCATTGTCTGTCATTTGGAAAGCAAAAGAAAAAAAGTTAAGAATTCACCAGAGCAATGCAGCTCATGGATTTATTTACAGATGATTTAGAACAACACTCATAACAGCCTTAACTCTTAACTTATAGTCTCAATAGTCTATCAAGAAAAACAATCCTACATTCTGAGCCATTAATGATCTATTAAAAAAAAAAAATCTTATATTCTGAACTAGCACTGTGAAATGCCCTAAAGAACCACACCAGATTTAATCAATTGATTTCAATTGATCAATCGATCGATCAATCTATCACACATAGGAATCTGAACTAGAGAAGCTAGTAAGCTGATGCAGCAAGAAATGGATTTCCTCATTAGATATCTTCCAGCTTTATCTGCCCAAGAGAGTGGGGCCTTGTGAGACACTCTACCCTCACCCCATTTCTAAGAGGTCTATAAGGGGCGTGCATAAGTGCACCAGCGTGCCTACCGTCCCTGTCCTAATATTCCTTTTTACTTATTCTTTTCATGTATTCAAATTATGTTCATACTTTTACCTGTTATCTTATATATGCTTGACAAAATAAACTTATGATTATGATTATGATATATTAGATTCTAGAATATTCCCATCTCTGCCCTTCCTGATTTAACCTGGGTAGCATCAGACAGAGCTCCCCATTTACCTGTGTGGAACTGTCCAAGGTCCTGAACACTAAATATTTGTGTTCTCTCTCTAGCCAATATAGCATCTAACATATACAGTTCAGCTTTTCTCTTCTGGCATCTAAAGCCGTTAAATGTGACTCCCAATTAAGTGGAAAAAGATGGAAGGAGCATTCCACAATCAAGGCATCACAACAGACAGAACAATATCCCTGCTAAAGCTCCAAATCTAAAAAAAAATCAATGACAAGATTAAAGACTTGGTTCCCTGTGAGCCTATTGTTTGCACCAGCATACCAACTAATGTACAGAGATTGAGGGACAGGGTGGGGAATCTTTCCTGGTCAATCCTTAGAAAATAGAATTGTTTTTAAGCTGAAAGTTGGGGCGTTGTATACCTCCTCTCATTTCCCCCAGATTTTACTCAAAGTAAAAGTAGCATATGGTTATGGGTTACTTATTAAGTGTTTGATGAGATGACTTGAATGCTAATAGCATGAAAAGATTAGAGTAGCAAACCATGCATTATCTTGAGATAAGGTAGCATTATAAAGGCTGTCATTGTAGTTGTTGACATTAGCTTAATGGGAGCAGTTCTTGAGAGTCCCTATTAGAAGAGATTGGCTCATTTTTATTGCATGTCCTCTTCCTCTTAGCTCCTTCTATTTTTTCCATTTCTTACTTGTGTGATGCGATGATGTGAGGAGCTCCGTTCACAAAGTTGCATATCACCATCAGATCTTTTCACAGTTTTGGAGTGTTGCCAAATTCCAGCCCTTTAGTAGCATTTCATCTTGTGATTTGGGTTGCCATCGAAACTGTGACATGAGTTCTCCTATCCCATGTCCTTTATATAGCCACATCAAAGGAATATATAGATCAGCTACTTTTGAGGTTCCCAGGAAGAAATTATTTACAGTATTTTATGTAATTCAACTGTCTTGCAGATATGACTTCGGATGTAAGTAAAATGGCTGCCAAGTTCTTTTATGTTGTTATTAAGATGAGCGCCCAATTATTGTAGATGCATCTCAGCTGAGTGCATTAAGCTGACTTTTATTTTAAGTATGATGCTCCAATTGTGATGTGATTGCATTTTTGTTTAGTGGCCAAAGGGCAATAATTCATTGATTCACATTCCAATGTGCAAATGAATTTGTTTATTTTTTTTCAAACAAAATCTGGTTTTTTAAATTTTTTGTATCTATGTATTTTATTGTTTGGCTGTTCACCGCCCTGAGTCCTTCGGGAGTAGGGCGGTATACGAATCAAATCAAATAAACTAAACAAATTAGATTTTTCAAGCAAATTAGATTTTTTTTTCAAAAACCTGCATTTTTTTCCCCCAACTTTTACATGCAAATTGACGGCTTGCATTGTCTGACTCTTCATGAGTCTTTCCTAAAGCAGAATAGCAATGACAATAGCAATAGCACTTAAATTTGTATACCACTTCATAGTGCTTTACAACTCTCTCTAAGTGGTTTACAGAGTCAGCCTTCAACCATCTGGGTCTTCATTTTACCAACCTTGGAAGGATGGAAGGTTGAATCAACCTTGGGCTGGTCAGAATCTAACTACTAGCAGTCAGCAAAATTAGCCTGCAATTCTGCATTCTAACCACTGCACCACCATGGCTCTTATCAATGCTTATATGAAAATTTTGTAAGGGATGCAGTGGCTCAGTGGCTAAGATGCTGAGCTTGTCAATCGAAAGATCGGCAGTTCAGCGGTTCGAACCCCTAGTGCCGCTTAATGGCATGAGCACCCGTTACTTGTCCCAGCTTCTGCCAACCTAGTAGTTCAAAAGCACTTAAAAAATGCAAGTAGAAAAATAGAGACCACCTTTGGTGGGAAGGTAACAATGTTCCGTGTGCCTTTGCGGTTTAGTCATGCCAGCCACATGATCATGGAAACATCTTTGGACAGCGCTGGCTCTTCGGCTTTGAAATGGAGATGAGCACTGCCCCCTAGAGTCAGGAACGACTAGCAAATATATGTGAGGGGAACCTTTATTTTTATACGAAACTATATCAATCACAGATTGCATACATATTCCTGGGCATTTTTACTGACAATTACCCAGAGGTTTTGGGGGATATTGCAATTTTACATACAATATTCACCCATTTCATTTGAAGACTGGTTTAACTTGATTTTGAAGGTGGTTTTCTTGTAAGTAAGTAAGTAGAAGAAATAGCTGGGTGGAATGTAATCAGACTATTCCACCCTGAGCAATAATATTTCCAAATGGATGCTATGATAGACATCGGCATTATCCTAAATCAACTAAGTCCCATCAAGTTTGTTTTTCTCGGTCTCCAGAGTGGATGTTTAGAATTCCTCCAGTAGGGCTGGGTTTGATCAAATTTTGATTTGGTCTGCCATATTTTAAATGAAATATCTGTCACTATTTTTTAAAAGTCAGTGTGGGTCTTTTCTCTTTTGCTTTGTGCATCCTGAATTTTAGCAAACAGAGGATCAATTTTTTCCCTAAAATCCTCCAGCATGCAGTCCGATGTTCTTCTATTTTGTGACTCATAAGGCAGGCAGCCCTTTGATTACATCTATGCCTATCTAAGGCTTCAGAATTTGCTCCATTATCTCTGGTTTCCATGGCAGCTGCATCTCCTTCCAGGGGTTTCTCTATAAGTCATCTACCCTTTTCTTCATCTCTGTTTTCTGTCAGCTAGGAACCAATCTAAGCTTTAACTTAATTTTAGAAGCAAAATTTGAACAAGGTGCGTGAGTGTAAAAGACAGATTGATGAATGAGTCAATGTCTGGGGAAAGAGATATTTTAATGTGCACGACAATTCATCAGATATTTTGAAGGAT